CTTGTCCTTTGTACAGTCATAGAGAATGCACTGTTTTGGAGGAAAGATCCCCCTTCTAAGGTCTCACTGGAGCAAGACTCCCAGATCATCCCTACCTCTGTCCTTTCATTAATTCATTTAACAAATACTTTCCTAGCTTTGAAGATAACATCATGAATACAATGATTTGTATGATCCTTTGTGGAGATTTTTAAAAAGGAACACAGTAAATACAACCATTATGTGGTTTGTTGTAAAGCAGAAAAGAATAGAAAGGGGTGTGTATGGAGTGCGGTGCCTGGAGGAAGAGGGCAGGGGGAAGGGAGGATCATCTCTCTCTCTCTCTCTCTCTCTCTCTCTCTCTCTCTCTCTCTCTCTCTCTCTCTCTCTCTCTCTGTGTGTGTGTGTGTGTGTGTGTGTCTCTCTCTCTCTCTCTCTGTCTCTGTCTGTCTGTCTGTCTGTCTGTCTGTCTGTCTGTCTCTGTGTGTGTGTGTGTGTGTGTGTGTGTGTGTGTGTGTGAACACAGGTCTTTACTACTTCACCATCCCATCAGTGGCCTTTCTGGATTCTGCATTTATTGGCTTGGCCTTCCTCCACTTTCAAAGCCAAAGCCAGGAGAAGCATCTTGCATTCCCATCCTCCTTCTTGTGATTACACCATGTCTAACTGGATAATCCAGAATATCCTCTTCCTCTCAAAACCTTTAAGGACATTCTGGGTATAGGGCATAGGTATCTTTGGAAAGTTACTGTGTGGTACACTTTAGGGGGCTATTGCAAAAATCCAAGCAAGAGACAATCGTGACCCAGAGTGGAGTGACAGCAGTGAAGAGAGTGACAAATGCTGGGGTTCTGGGTATACTCTGAGAGTTGAGCCAGCAGGATGTTCTAAGGCATTGGACATGTGTTAATTCCACAAACTGATAATAAGACAACTACTACAATTTAAAGCCTAATTTTAAAGCAAGCTTTAATTAAATACTGGCCAGGTGATTGGGCTCTGGCCAGGTCCACACTTAGATTGCTGGGAAATGGTCCCATGTCACTGTTTGCAGTGGCTTAAGAAGAAAACCCCATAATTCATTGCATTTCCCATCAGGTCCAATCTAGGGCAAGCATGTGTTTCCTGCCAGTGAACCTCCTGCCCACAGGTGATCAAGCACATCTGGTGCAGATGGGTCAAACAAACGTGAAAAGCATGTGGTTTGTTATCTCCCATAAACAATATTTCAGGAACTATCTGTCCTTGAGCAAGAGGCTTGAAGATCAGAGATATTTTTGTTTCATGGATCTCTCAGGCATAATATTAAAACTTAAAATGTAACTTTGGCTCTTACACATGGACTTTCCTTCCATTTACCTGGACTTGGAAGCAGACCCTCCTTTCTGTGAGGGAGAGTAGTTATCTCTATAAAGGTCTAGGGAGTGGTCACTGGAGCCTGTGTGCCCCCTCCAATGTGTTGTTAATATTCAGGCATCTGTACTGGCCTGTCCTTGGGGTTCTGCAGGATACGCCCTCAGCTGCAGCCACTAAGAGCACCACCTGTGCACATTCACTATGTTCCCTTTTAAAAAGGCCCTGCCCACCTCTCATCTCTCTCTTTCCCTCCCTCCCTCTCTCTGCCTGTCTCTCTGTCTCCCCCTCTTTCTCTCTGCCTCTCCTCTTCTGCCATTCCTGTCCCCAGAGGTCGGTCTCCCCTTTGTCCTCCTCCCTTTTCCTACTCACTTTCCCCCAATAAACCCCTCCACCCAAGCTCTGTTTCATGGCATCTTTCTCTAGCATGAGCTGCTTTTTAAAATTACAACAGTCACTTGGTCTACACAGACTCAGCTGAACCCCCCATTGTCTCAAGTAGAGGCCCCCACCCAGCCCACATTTCCCTCTCTCTCACACCCCTCAGGTTGGGTCTGTCTTATCTCCATTGCTGAATTTGCCTAGATCTCACTAGGTAGCCCTGGGTGACCTAGAACTGGTTATGTAGACCAGGCTGGCCTCAAACTCACAGAGATCCACCTGCCTCTGCCTCCTGAGTACTAGGATTGAAGATGTAAACCAGATGCCTGGTATAAATAAATAATTTTAGATGAAAAAGAAAAAGGTTTGTATGGAGTTGGGATTTAGCTTAGTAGGAGAATATTTTCCCAGTGCATGAAAAGGCCCTGGGTTCAATCCCTAGCACTGAAAAAATGAAAGAAAGATATTCAGCAGGTTTGTGTTTGTAATTCCAGCACTTGAGAGGAGAAGGCAAAAAGCTTGCCATGAGTTTTTATGCCTAGCTTATTTCATTCAAGGTAACACATATTGTGCTTATTGTTTTCACATGGCTTCAACACTTTCATTTGTTTGTTTTGAAGACAGGGTTTTTCTATGTAGCCTTGGCTGTCCTGGAGCTCATAAAGTTCTGCCTGCCTCTGCCTCCCAAGTGCTGGGATTAAAGGCACATGCCATCAATACCTGACTAGCTTTAACATTTTGTTTTCTTTTGGTTTCCCCGAGACATGGTTTCTATTGATGCCTCAGGGACCAGCCTCTAGGAAGCTTGGGGTTCTGAGAGAAGCCAAGGAAACGGCGAAGCTAAGACCTTTTCTATCTGAGAGGGTTAAGGAAAAACATTCACATTTTCTTGATCGTTTCCTTCTTATTCATTAACCTCTCCTGATGCACTCTCTGGGCTGGATCTGGCTGCCCCCTCACATCAGCACAAAAGTGTATTTACTTATTTTATTTGCATTGGTGTTTTGCCTGCATGTATGTCTGTGTGAGGGTGTCAGATCTTGTGAGCAGCCATGTGGGTGTTAGGAATTGAACTCCAGTCCTCTGGAAGAGCAGTCAGTGCCCTTAACTGCTGAGCCATCTCTACAGACCCTCAACATGCTTTCTTATAGAACCAAGGACCACCACCCCAGGGTGGCCCCACCCACAATGGGATGGACCCTCCCCCATCAATCACTAATTAAGAAAATGCTCTACAGGCTTGCTACAGCCCAGTCTTAACTGAGGTTCCCTCTCCAATGTCAAGTAGCATCAAATTGACATAAGCTTGTTAGGACACAGTCAGACACAAGGACTCTGCTGTCAACCCGTTTAGCTCAACAACAGTGTGAGACTGGTGGTTAAGATCTGAGGCATCTACACCTTTAGTTCCAGCACTTGGGAGGGAGAGGCAGTCAGATCTCTGTGAGTTCGAGGCCAGCCTGGTCTACAAAGTGAGTTCCAGGACAACCAGGGCTGTTACACAGAGAAACCCTGTCTAGAAAAAAGCAATCTGCCGGGCGTTGGTGGCGCACGCCTTTAATCCCAGCACTCAGGAGGCAGAGGCAGGCGGAACTCTGTGAGTTCGAGGCCAGCCTGGTCTACAAAGTGAGTTCCAGGACAGCCTCCAAAGCCACAGAGAAACCCTGTCTCTAAAAACAAAAAAAAGAAAAAAACAATCTGCCTGATCATAAGTTTTGAGGGCCATGGATCAAAATTGGCAAACGTTTTCCTCTGAGTACTGGGGAGCAGCATGTCTGAGGTAAGTGAGGGGTAGGACGCTCAGACTCGAATGAGTCGTGCCCTGATGTTAACTGACAGATAGGTTCTTTTTTTTTTAACTTTGATAAAACATTGCAAATTTTCTGAGAGAACAGATATAAATGTGACTTATGTTTCATAATTTATGGTGCCGTTAAATATAGCCCCTCCAGACAAAGCTTAGGTTCTGTGTATTCCAGCTTAGCTTTAAACTTGTTATATAGCTAAGAATGACCTCAAAGTGGTGAGAACAGGCATATGTGTCCCCACACTTGGCCCTTATGCTAGCCTTGAAGGTGCTAGGGTCTCTCTCCTGGTTCAGTAGTAATAGCTGGTCAGAATCCCTAGAACATCCAGTGCAGGAAGCTCTAGGCAGAGGCAGGAGGATCACATGTTTGAAGCCAGCTTGGGCTACTTAAGGAGACTTGTCTTACAACGAAACAGAAATTGTCACAGGTTCTCTTAAAGTTCGTGAGTGAGATTTTATCTATTCATTTTAACTGTAGTAGCTACAGTATAGCCCAAACTGACCTGGAAATCACTCTGTAGCCCGGGTTGAACTTGGACTCAAAGCAGTCCTCGTGTATCAGCTTCCCAAGAGCTGGGATCACCAGCATGAATAGTACACACTTTTGGGTGAGTGCCTGTAGCATGCTGTATTTCCTGTCTCACTTCTAAGAAGACCTGTGCCAGTTTCAAATTTACAGTTGTGGAAAGGAAGAAGTACCTGCCCAAGTGAGTATTCAAGTCTGATTTGAACTTTTGCAGTTGAATTCCGCTGCCAAGGTGGCTAGTCTCTTAGGTTTCGAAAAGTCTCTTAGGTGAGTAAAGGGTACAAAAGACTGCCTACTCAAGTAGAGAGAACCGACTAGCTGGGCTGGTAAATTAAGTTAGTTGGTCAGTTTCCAGAGTTTGATTCACTTGCCTATAAAAGAGGGACAGCATGCGGGACAGGCTGGCACAGACCTTTAATCACAGTACTCCAGAAGCAGAGACAAGATCAAGAATTCAAGGCCAGTGTCTGCTGCATAGGGAGTTCAAGGCCAGCCTAGGCTAAAAGAAACCCTGGAACGGCATTATCTATCATGAACTGATTATGAAAGTCAAATGTGATCATATGCTTTGGGGTCTGGGGATTAAACCCAGGCTTCTACCACGGAGCAACACTACGAGTCCTAACCTTTGTAATAGTTATTTCTCTCCCTGTTCTTCCGCCTCTACGGAATACATTCCAAGGAGACTACGTCTTCCAGCATGCCACCTCACCCTTTGACCTCGACGCGACTAAAAAGGTGCGCCGCCGTACGCCACGAACCGGAAGACTCGGACTCCCGGCATGCAGCGCACGGTCCTCCCTTAGACTCGAGGGGCTGTGGGCGCGTGGTGCTCTGGGAGCTGTAGTCAGCGGCGCGTTGCCCTGACGCCGGCCGGGCCCGGGCGTGGGGGCCTGTGGGAGGTTGCGCGGCCGGGCCCAGCTGCGGGGCGGAGGTGGAGGCGAGGCCTGCGGCTGCGGGGAGCGGCGGGGCCGGGAGCGGGCGCCGGAGCCGAGCCGAGCCGGAGCAGGCGCCGGAGGCCGGCGCGGCGAGCAGCAACCATGTCGGTGTTGGGGAAGCTGTTCGGGACTGGAGGGGGTAAGGGGAGCAAGGGCGGCCCGACCCCTCAGGAGGCCATCCAGCGGCTTCGGGACACGGAGGAGATGCTAAGTAAGAAGCAGGAGTTCCTGGAGAAGAAGATCGAACAGGAGCTGACGGCTGCCAAGAAGCATGGCACCAAAAACAAGCGCGGTGAGTCGTCCCCGACCCCATCAGACTCTCCACTGCTTCTCCTAAGGTCCCCCAGGCTCGGACTCCACTTTGTCTCACTCGTTTCGGGGTCTCCTTCAACCCTGGAACTCTTCGGCTAGACTTCTTTCGGTGCCTCTCCCGGCCCGGGACCCCTTTCCACCAGACTCCTGTGTCTCCTTGAGCCGGCTCACTTCCAGCATCAGACTCCCTTCAAACTCTTCCAGGCCTCTCTTGACCCAGATCTAACAGGACCTTTAACTCCGTGCTCAGTCTGTTCCTCCCTGTTTTACCGTGTTCTTCTCCCTGTGGCCTCACCCACCTTCCCAGCCACTGCCTCTACCCCCACTTTGGCTCCGTTCTTTTCCTCATCCTGTCATTATGTGTCTCTCGGTTCACCTCTGCCCTCCTCCGAGCCCGTGGTGTAGTCTGAGCTGCCTTCGGCCTCTGACTCAGGAGTCTTCTTGAAAAGCCTCCTTTATGGAGAGAAAAGAGGATCGGGGAGTGAAGAGACCCTCTGGTACCCACTCTGTTCACTTGTTGTGAAATTGAACAAGTTTGAGACCTTAGTTTCCGCATCCACTAGCTCGGATCTGGCCGCTGTGAGGCCCAGAAGTTACTAGCCCTGTGATTCTCTTTTGGTTGCCTCATATCCAGGCCTTCTTGGAGCTTCCGTATTGTAAGCCTCACCCCCTGTGACTCACCACTTCCCTGTCCTGTGCTGAACAAGAAACAAAGAGATTGGTCCAGTTTAGTCTCGATGTTAATTGATACTTGGTGGCATACTTACTTCCTGTTTTGAGTCCGTCTAGGAAAGTGCCTTGTAGTTTTCTTAAGGGAAATGAATGTGAGACTGCTTTAGTAACTGTAAAGAATGTCTGCTTTTTGTCACAGCAACGTGAGTATGAATCATAGCGTGGAGTTCTTCCTTTGAGAGTGAGCCAAAGGTGAGAGGGGTTTAGGAGTCATCCGAGCATTGAATTCAGAAGGTCACCAGGGAAGTTGTTCTGGGATTGTGAACAAGTGGATTTGCCCTTCTGAAAGGACTGATAATACCCAGCACATAGTAGGACTTAACTAACATTGTAAACATCTGCTTGATGTTGATGTTTTCTCAGAATGGTCTATCCTGCTGGGCGTTGGTGGCACATGTCTTTAATCCCAGCATTAGGGAGGCAGAGGCAGGTAGATCTCTGTGAGTTCAAGGCCAGCCTGGTCAATAGAGTGAGTTCCAAGACAGGCTTCAAAGCTACACAGAGAAACCCTGTCTCGAAAAACCAAACCAAACAAAAAGATGGTCCATTCCGAGGATGCTCCTCACTAATAGCAAACATTCTGGAACTTCTGAGCACCCAGTGCATCCAGTCACATTCCGGAGGGGAACCAAAACAGCCCCCACTTTAAGCAGAGAGACAGATGCTGGCTGTGCATGTCCCTGTAGACCTGTAACCCAGCATTGGGAGGTAGAGGCCTGAGGGTCAAGGTCATCCTTGAGGAAGCAATTTCATGGCCAGCCTGGCCTGTGAGAGACCCTTTCTCTAAGAGAGGTGGGGGGGGGGGGCAGGCAAGACCCGAAGCAGTGAAGAAGTTAGCCATCTGGGAGATGAGCATTAAACAAGGAAAAGTTGGTCATAGTAAGTAGGAAGCAGTGCTGTTTTGGTAGGGTGGTCAGGGATAGTCTCTTTGAAAAGTTAAAGTTTGAACTGAGTCTTTTCAAAGGAACCAGCTTTTGGGAGCTTTTTCCTGGCTGGGAGAACAGCACAGGGATGGCTGGAAAGTTGTCAAGATTAAAGAAATTGAAAGACCTCTGTCTGGAATGTTACTGAGGGGAGAGTGGAGTGAATGAAAGGAGGGGGATGGGCCTTGAGTGGCTGACGGAGTTTGGGTTCTAAGTGGATGGAAATCTTTTGAAGGGTGCTGTTCGGAAGCAGGCCGTAATCATTGGTAAGAGTTTAAGCATCTAACTGCTCTCTGGAGAGTGGAAGGGGCATGTAGGGAAGTTGCAGGCATCCGTCTGTGGACTGGACACCAGTTGTAGCTGTGTTCCTTAATCAGCTCTTTTCTCTGACAACTCTCCCGCCCACCCCCCAGGACAGGGTTTCTCTGTGGCTTTGGAGGGGCAACTCTCCCTTAATCAGGGTCCTCTTTCACCAGTGGTAATTAGTCATGGTTTTGCCCATCTGCATGTTGGAAAGCTTGCCTCGTCACAGTGCAGGGGAGGAGGGTGTCACTGTACCTTCTCTCCCCTCCCACAGGACTCCAAGCACAACATCTGCCACATGGTAAGAGATCAATACTCAGGCCTCTTGGCCTAGGGCTAGCTTAGTTTCTGCAGTTGTAGAGGTGACTGGATTGGCTTTCAAGACACTTGTAGAGAAAGTTGACACACTGTGGAGAAGCGACCTCAGCTGTAATAACTTTGCTCAAAGTGATGTCTATCTTTTTGAGTTTACCTGTGAGGATACAAGTTCTTTTTATGGTCCTAAGGTCTAATAGTTGTGTTGATCTTGTCCTAGGGCTTAAACTGCTTCCTCAGAGGCTGCTGTGAGGTTTACCCATACCACATACATGCCACTTATTTACTGTTGGGACTCTGAGCCTCAGAGATGAGAAAACACTGCCTGTCTTCCTGGGAGAAGCTGGGATTGGAAATGGCTGGGGTGGGGTGGGGTGGGAAGGGCCAGGAGTAATTTTAGAAGTCAGTGGTGAAGTGTGTTTAAATAGTTGAGGTTACAGAGGGGGGTTCTTGTCTGGGGAGAAGATGGGGAGGAGGCTTTGTGGAGGAAGGAGAGTGGGGTGGGTCATCAAGGGTTTAGTGTGTTCGGGAGCAGTGTAACCTTGGAGACTGACTTTTAGCCTTTGGATCTTACCCTGGATATGTTGTAGCTCCAAAGCTACACAGAGAAACTCTGTCAAGGGGTGGGATAGAATCTTACAGATCAGGATTTGAGCTGTAGCTTCCTTACTGACTAGCTATGTGCCTGGGTAGGTTACTCTGCCTTCCGCTCCTCTATGAATATGAGCCCTATCAACAGGACAGGATGAGGTCTGTCATGTATGCAGAGTTAGCATAGTGCTTGCCCTATGGTAAAAGGCCAATAACTGCTCTACATTACCATTACATCGACACTAGCAGTTATTCAGGTGGGAATGGGCAAAGAAATACATGTCCAAGGCTTCTAAAGGAGAGTCAGAAGAGGCTTGGTGGTTTGGTGGGAGGCAGCAGGATGCAGACAGGAGGAAGACATTCCCAGGCTTTCAGCTGGGGCAGCTGGGTGCATGGTGATGGGCTAAGTCAGGAGATGAGTAGCATGTCATAGTGTAACCTTGTGAAGTTTGCACAATGCTTTCTCAGGAGTAGTACAACGTCTGCTGAAACTATGGCTCCATGAGGTGGGATTTTACAGAAACGTTCACTGTTCTATGGCCAGCAGTGTCTGGCTTACTATTAATGCTCAGTAGATATTTAGTTGTGAATGAGTAGTTATTTATTTATTTATTTTTGATTTTCCAAGACAGGGTTTCTCTGTATCAACAACTCTAGCTGTCCTGGAACTCACTTTGTAGACCAGGCTGACCTGGAACTCACAGAGATCCTCCTTTCTCTGCCTCCTGAGTGCTAGAATCAAAGGCGTGCACCACCACCACCCAGGGAATGCCTATTTATTACATGACTAAAACCAGTCTTGTGACTGGAGAGATGGCTCAAGCAGGAGGACCTGAGATCAGATCCCCAGCACCCGTGTAAAGAGGCTCATCAGTATGTCCAGCTGTAACCCCAGCACTGGAGGAAGGCAGACACAGGCAGGCTCCTTAGCTCCATGGCCAGACAACCTTTTTAAATTTTGTTTGTTTTTGTTTTTTCGAGACAGGGTTTGTTTGTATTGTTTTGGAGCCAGTCCTGGAACTCGCTCGGTAGACCAGGCTGGTCTCGAACTCATAGAGATCCTCCTACCTCTGCCTCCCGAGTGCTGGGATCCTTTTTTTAATTTTATAGCTTCAGGTTCCGTGAGATCCTGTCTCAAAATATAAAATGGAGAGCAATAGAAGCTATTTAACTTTGATCTTTCAACCTTGACCTCTATCCTTCATATGCATGTGCACATACATGTTCATACAACCACACACAGGCACACATGAAAAGTATCTGGTTGGTATTTTTTTTTTTTATTCCCAGTGTAAAGAGAAGAAAATGAAGCTTATCAAGTGATGTGTCTCAACTTGTTCAAGTGACCAGGGCATCATGGGGCCGATTCCATGATTGCAGAGGCTTCATCATGGCTAGCATTGTCCCTGCACTCAGTTCATACCCCATTTATGCAAGTTGTGGGATGAGAGGGGGCAAAGCGAGACAGCATCAAATTCTGTCCATCAGAATACGTGTCCAAATTCAGAAGCTGTCTTGGGGGTATGTATACACATTACAAAGGTGGTACACTGCCCCTTGGAAGAAAACATGGAAGCCAGATTGGATTATTTGCACTGTGTCCCAGGCAGTGGCTCCAGTCAGATGAAGAGATCAAAATATGGGTCACATGTTTTTTCCAGTTCCTTTTGTTTCCTTTAGTCATATATTCATTTTCATGTTCTGTTCTGGTCCCCTACTCAGTGCTAAGAATACAGATATGACCATGACATAGACCCTGCCACCCAGGAGACTTAAGTTTATTTTCACTTGTGAAATATTTCTACCTGGCTGAGGTGAGAATTACCTAAGATTTATATGAAAAAACAAGATATATGGCACTTGTCTGATAGTTACCACTGATCAGATTTATATGGTTTAATTGTTAATAGAAACCAGCTTCAGATCGAGGCCTACCAACAAGAACCACCCAGATCCAGATTTTTCCCGGGCAGCTTTGTAGACAGCACTCTGTTAGTTTCCCAAGAAAGATGATTGTATGTCTCAGATTCTCTTCTTGCCCTTGCCCCCCCCCCACATTTTGTTTTTGTTATTTTGTTTTTTTTGAGACAGGCTGTCCTGGAACTTGATCTGTAGA